GGCATTTAGACGCTTTGTCGCGCGTCGCGGTAAATGCACCTCGATCATTTCCGATCAAGGTAGCAATTTCAAGGGCGCATATCGAGAGCTTACGAATTTGGCCAAGGCTTGTGCCGAAACTCTTTCCTTAAACTGTTTTTTTAATACTCCTGGCTCTCCACACTTTAACGGTCTTGCTGATGCAGGCGTTAAATCCTTCAAGAGCCACCTCTATTGTACCGTTGGCTCCCGAAACATGACTCTCCTCAGTCAGATTGAAGCAGTTTTAAACTCACGCCCATTATGGAGCATCAGTTCAGACCCTAATGAGTTGCAATCGTTAACTCCCGGGCATTTTTTAGTTCTAGAGCCGTTGTGTAATTCCAGATCTCTCTTTGGACCAACTTTCCCTAAACCGCCTAAGCAGGTGGCAATACATTCAAAAACTTGAAAGTGAGTTTTGGAGACGTTGGTCTCTTAAGTATATTAACCCTTTACAAGAATGCCATAAATAGTCCAACCCTTCACCACCTATTTCAAGGGGGGACTTGGTTCTCGTTAGGGATGAACAACGTCCTCCTCTCCAGTGGTTGTTAGCTCGAGTCACCGACCTACATCCAGGCAAGGATGGTTTAATTCGTGTTGTCTTCGTGTTAATTTTAAACATAAGTAGCGTACAGAGCTGATAGCAGGAATCTTGCGCTAATCTCACGCCGACGCGGAAGTACGGAACGGCGCACCGAGCGTAGTTGTCCGGGTTTTATCGGTCGCGATAGTTTCCCTGGTTCCTATTTTTCTCTCGTCGGAAAACAAGTTTTCCGGCCGTTTTCTTCCGTTGAACGTGCGCGAGGCAACAAGGCGACGAAGCTGCCAAAGCGAATTTAGTAACCTTCCAAACGGCACAAGGCAGATCGATCCGCCAGCGGAACGACTGAACCGCGTGGTATGCAGGTACTATCCACTGCGTTTTAATCTTTCCTGTACGTTTTTCTGAATAGCTAAATTTCAAGTTACAGTTTGCCTCGAAGGTTTATAAGAATTTAATCGGGATATAATTCTCCCTCCAACATTTTTCATAGTTTCTGCGTTTACATTTAATAAATATAGCTTTAAAATTTCGTCGTTTCCTTGCCCATATGTGTCAAAAAGGAAATCTCCAGCTGGGTACATTTTCTCAAAACAACACGAATACTTTCACGGACATGACCGTCAGAATTGACAAATGTCATAATTCAAGACGTGGGAAATATCTCCGAAAACATCCGATTGCTCCGAAACCCGTGCCGTAAAATCCCGGTAATGTCTGAAGTGGCTAAGATCCGTGGGAAATGAAACTGAAGTGGTAAAGCGCATTAGATCGGTATGTAATCAGGCATTTTCCAGACGGGAGTGGAAAAAATTGTTTGTTCGAGCGCTCAGATAAATATATTCTTATAATATACTAGTAACTCATTAAAAATCTCATATTCATTCAATAAATTTTCTATATTTTTTACACTCAATTATTTACTAATTTGACATAATCGTGGATAATTTTTATAGGGGTTGGAAGTATCCAAATCTTTAACTGTCTTTTAAATCTATTTTTAATCTAATTTACAAGATTGCAGATTTTCCGAGCATATGGAAAATATAGTTAACTGGCCGTCGGCCTGATCGTTTTCGAGCTTTTGTTGTTTTTACTTTTCTTTGTTTTTTGTGACTCATTTCATGATGTTGATTCATTTTGGATAAGGCACTTTTGTTCGTTATTATCTTATATGCAGTGGTTGAATGTCCATAATATGTGATTCTTGAAATAAAAAGTCGCAAAAAAAAACGATTTTTCCTATGTAAAATTTTTGGAAAAACTTTCTGTATTGTTTCTAGTTGTTTTAAGTGACTGCACAAAGCTACTGTAGCAATGACTCTACTAGATAGTGATAAACCATTTTCATATTTGTTTTATTTAATAAGTTTTTAGGCTGCTTGAATTTGAATATTACGCGCCTTAGTTTTTTTTTGCAACGTTGAGACATGTGTAGGGTGGCCCGATCATCTTGGGATACTATCTTATCTCAGAAACTATAGCGGATGGAGCCAAAAGTTAAATACAAAAATTAATTGAGGTATTACAAACCTTTAATTTATTTGAATTTTGTATGTACAGCGTGTTTATTTTTTGCACATATTTTGCAACCTCTGCTCTAAAAAGTCGAAGTAAACTTGCGCATTTACTGTATTTTCAAAAACAATGGATGCCACCTTATTTGGTGTTATACCACCCCAAACATTTATGTCATCATAAAGTTCTTTCTTGAGCCTATTCACAAAATGTTAGTCTAATTTGATAAATATTTTCATTAAGTTCTTGATGAAGTTGTACATGACAAAGACGCATCTTATTTTTTCTCAAAATATTTTTCACAGAACTCTTAGAAATTCGTAAATCTTGACACTAAGTGAAACTTGCAGTCTTTCATTCTTTTCATAATCAACACTTCCAGTTCGCGCAAAACGATTTATCAAATTGTCAAGACGTCTTTTAGAGGATTGCCTTCTTTCTGGATACCGTTGCTTGTAAATTCTCGTAGCTAATACCACGTCTGCCACTTCTTCCATCGAAAAATTCATGGTTGAGTTGCAATTTCAACTAACAACAAATTAATTGAGAAAACTAATACAAACTTGAAATAATTATTTATTGACAATCCAAACTTTCATTTGTATGGCCAATTTACTAAAAGACACAATCTGAAAACATTATTTTATAGTTCAATATGATTTTGGGCTTTAAGCAAGGCAGGAATCCTAAATTAATGGAAACATTTTTTTCCCAAAATTAAAAATTTACTTATTTATTTTTCTTTTCTTGACTTATTGCGATATTTTCTCATAATTTGACAAATTTTCGGAGATTTCGTAAATATATGTTTACCGCAAAAAATACTAAGATTAGGTATATGGGATGCTGAGTTAATTGAAAGAGCATTCATAGGAATCACTAAATGAAGTATAATATACATTCTAATTTCTTTTTTTCACGAAAATTAATATTTTTCATTTTGACTCACCCTCTGTAAATGAATCGAACTAACTTAAAGACAAGTATAAGTGACTGTATTACTTTTTAATATTGTTGGAATAATAAAAATGGTGTCACAATATTTTTGTGGAAATTATGTGTTAAAATGAAATGTTAAACTAAAACATTTTCTCGAAACATTTAATTCATAATTCATGAAACATAAAGAGACAATTTATTTAAACATACCAAGTCTTTGTGGTATTTGTATTTAAGCATCTGAATTGCATGTTTTACCATTCGTGTACCATGTCAAATATAGGATGAAAGATATTTTTGATATTAAATGTTTGTTAACGTTTTCATAACTGAATTTAAATAATTGCAATTCCTCTTCCTTTTTTGGTAAGTTAGTGAAATAGTTGCAGTGTGTAATCTGTTGGATATAAGCATTTAAGCTGCTGATGAAATTAAATGCTGCGACTTTCAAGTTTTGAGTTAATTGTTCATTCTACCAGAAAGTGCTTTCATACTAATCTGCTTGTGGGAAGAGTATCCTTATCCATAACACAAATTAGGACTGTTTTCCTATAATAAGCGAATGTGATCATTATTATTATTATTATTATTATTAAGCATCATAGTATTGTTTACATTGGAATATCGGATCTAGGCCTTAAGAGTGTAGCCAAAAAAAGAAGAAGAGTTCACGTTGTGGTATCGTGACTTTAGAAAACTTACATAAACCGCCGTAATATACAGCGCCACATTAAAATGTGTCTTGATAATTTTAATTCGAACATTTTAATTCGTCAAAAATTTTAATCCATCATTCATAAAAATAAGTATTTAAATTTCGTAATAAAAATGTTTGAAAAATATTGATAACAATTTTTATTATTTGAAACTTTGATGTTTGTATAAAACTATATTACAAATATTTAAGTTGGTCTTTATCTTATGTTTCATAAACGAAAATTTCTCTTGAATACCACTGTTTGTTGACAATACGTCTTATTTTATTCAATGTATGCATAACGTTTCAAATTTCAATCGGTTCAATTTAATAGTGAAAGTATACACAAAAATTAAATATACATTGGAATTAACTTTAATAAAGTATTATTTTATTATAATTGTACGAAAATATTTTTTATTTATTAGTAAAATGGCATTCTATAGATGGGACATTTACTTTACTTACCTTCATTCAATTGACAAGGCTATCAAAGTACCTTTGTTTCAATATTTTGCCGTTAATAATCACAGTTTGGATTTCGTGAGAGAAGATCAACAACACAACCTCTCTTGTACTTTGTAGTCAGAGTTTCGAAATTGCTTTAGGGAGCTGAAACTTCTACAGCACTTTTATGCGATTTCGCGAAAGCCCTGGACTGTATGGACGATAACTTCTTAATTAATAAACAAGTGACAGTGATGGTGTTCTACAGGGTTCAGTTCTCGGGCCCCCGTTGTTCCTCATTTACATAAACGATCTTCCCGTTTCCTTGCCGCATAGGCAAGTTTCACTATTTGCGAATGACATTGTTCTCAGCTAAACATCCACAAATGCTACTGGATAAGATTGAAGTCACAACGAGTGCAATACTGAAATGGTTTTCTTCTGACAATCTGGTTTTAAACAATAGAAATAATCAAAAACTGACTCTAGCATGCAACAAGATATTAGATCAGCCCAGTACCATCCTCCTGTTGTTTGTTAAGCTTGACATGATGACAGTCTCTTAAACTTACATTTTCAAAACACTTTGTCAAAAATGCTGATCTGCATAACTGTAACACTAGACTGTCAAGGCTATCGTTATTCCTATTTCCATTATCACGTCATCTCAGATCATGTTAAAATTTTTAACGACCTACCAAAAAATATCCACATTTCAAATTTATAAGGATAATGAAGCAATTTTAGTTAGGTAATGTCATCTACTGACTTACCATTAGCTATTTTGTAAAACTTACATTAATAGTGAATAACCTTCTTTCTTTCATATTTCAGAAAGCAACTTAAATGAAAACGACAAATTAAAACATGGCAAGGAAGCGAATAACGTGTGCCGAATGGATCTCGTCGATTCAGCACTTCCGGCGCCGGACGGCAACCATCAACGCATTGATAATTGGCAAAAAAAGCTGAAAGCGGATTGCAAACCCGAGGAGCTGCAGAAAATCAAAACCAAGTGCGAAATCTTGGTACGCCATTGCATAGCCAATCTGTTGATTCATTTGTCCTTTAAAGACTTTCAAGAGGTCGAAGGTAAAATTCGCCAAATATTACTTACCTTATAAATATTGTCATTTCATTTTAGATGATTTCAACCGAGCCGTGTGTTGGTACTTGACTTGCGATCGTTACTGGGAAGATTCCCAGACAGACATCCGGAGCTTTCCCTGGGGACTGGTTTGCATGATCATTATGGTTTTATCTTTGGGAATTTGTTTGTGCTATTACATAGTATGGGTGTTGTTTGAGTAAGTGTTTTAGCGGAGAATAGTTTTTCTAACCAAAGCACTCAACAATTTTAGTATTTCTAGTACTGACGACATAAGCGTAACCAGTACCAGCCTTACAGACAGGTCAACTCCGTCACCGACGCACCTTCATGGGCAGAATTTGGGCGCTACAGATGGGCACCATATATTTACGGAAGATTTTATTACATCAGACAAAGATAACGAATATATTTATGTGACCTACCCGCCAGAATTAAAAAGAAGATTGTTAGAAAGGTGGGTGTTAAAATGAATTTACATTCATGTCCATGTAGCTTCAAGGACAAAATATAAAGCACAGACACAGTATAAAGTACACGTACAAGGTTTTCAAAACGTTTTACTTCTCAACAATCAAATCAAATTTTTCGGGGTTCTCCATACCTATCTCCTCTGTTTCTTACTCTTATTCTTTTTCTTATGCTTCTTATGACTAATTTCTTTCTATAAAAAATACTGTGATGCAAATTCCCTTGCAATAAACTTAATATAATATAAAATTATATAATCAATACTTTCGCAGTTATTGGAGGATGAATGACAAAAAGTTTTCAATAAAAAAAAGTCGTAATTGACCATTTCGTATGTCACATAACCTAACTAATTATTTGGGTGAGGTTTCATGTAATTCGAACCCGAAAAAAACTGAACATTTTTACCGCTTTTTTATTGCACTACAGGCCGCGTAATGCTTGCCTGCCGTCGGGCGCCAACTTGTAATGCAGATTTCCTTAAAACATAAGCAACTTTATATACATTTATTTTATACTGAAATAAACTAAAAAATAAAATAATTTATTTTACGGTGCAATCGTTCGCCTTGTAAATAATATTTTTGATATATCCCCATAAAAAACAGTAAGGATTTGTTACGTCCGGAGACCTGTCGGACCAGTTCTGTGACCTTTTTGTCCTACCCGTCTATTCGTATATTGTCGATCTAACCGGTTCTAACACTTCTTGCAAAGTGTGTAGGAGCACCATCTAGTTCCAACATTCGCTAACGTAACTACTTTAAACAATGATAATAAAAAGAAATAATAAATTACGTCTCATCTAGGACAAAGCCTACTATAATTGAAAAAATAGTAGGATACAGTGTTTCATTTTTTCATTTTTAAGATAAAGAGATAGGTTTTATAGGAAATCTAATTCTGGGTAAAAACCACTCTGTATACTTTTGAAGTAACACTTTTATTGGATAGTTAACTTTAATGTTTCAGCTAAGCGGTAAAGTTAATTTTGAGCAGCCCCTTATATGTTGTAGGGTGCAAACAAATTAAATTTGTGTTAAAAGGTGTATTTTGAATTCATTCATTTCCCTTTCCATTCAATAAAAGATATGCTTTTCTCAGAACCTGTAATAGTTATCAAGACATTTTAAATAAAAAAGTAATTTGCATTTAAGGAATTTTTAGATTATTTGGATTTTATAGGGTGCCTCAATTCTTCGGTATCCATATCAACTTTGGAATTTTTATTGGCCGTCTTATTTATTAGAATTATTTACTTATTTATTCCTTATTCTTAAATTTGTTGGGTTAAAAAAAATGAAAATCGGAACAGGAAAATTCTTAAAGCAGGAAACTCGAGACGCAAGGGGATATATGTTGTTTCGAATATGTACCGGGTGTCCATTTTTCGATGGGTATTGAGATTAATAGTAAAAATGGAGGGATGCGGTTTTTGCGACACTCCGCTACTTTTTCGAGAAACAAGTTTTCATAGCCCTCTTGATTTTTAAGATACCGGACCCCTCAAATCTCAAATATTCAAAAGCTTATTAGAAATGTATAACGTGGACTTGTTTTCCGTTTTTTACGCAGAATTCAGTGGCCGATTGTTTCTGTCCTTAATTATTTTCGAAAAATATACCAAACTTATTTTTTTTAAATGGGTTTGTCAAGAGTATATCAAAAATATATAAAACTCGATAGTAGTTTTTAATATTAAGCCTAATATTTAAATTTTGAAAAAAAAATATTCGTTTTTGTTAGTTAACCATGGCAGGTTTATTTTTAAAACAAAATATTCATATTCAGAAATTCTTAAGTTTCTGTTAGAATAGTACGGTTTGTGGTTTTTTGTAATTCTTTTACAAATTTTAATTAAAATGTCACAACCAGCCGTGGCAGTCATTATTTAAAAACTTTGAATAATACGAAATGCTAGTGTGTTATTTTTTTAAAGATTAAAACCAAATTTAATCCAACATTCAAAATATTCGCAACAAAGAAAACAAGCAGATTGCTAAAATTAATGTATTCGCTTCATCCTGAATAATTTGAAGTAGTTTTTGCAGGAAAGTAAAAGGTTCTGTCGGTATTTTTAAATTGCTTGGCGCATCGTAATAATTTATATTTGCAACAAGACGGAGCTCCCGCTCATAATGAGCGAATGTTAAGTACCTACCTTAACACTAATTTTCCTAGCCATTGGTTTGGAATAAATTGACCTATAAGATGGCCACCTAGGTCACCGCAGTTATCGATTTCGGATTTGTTTTTGTGGGGATAACTATAAAATCAAATATGTACGGTCATTTAATATTTTAATGCAATAACCTTGTTGGTATCCGGCTCGAAGTGATCCAAATTATGTTGTGATCTTGTCGCAATTTAATTTAATTTTGACCTACCTGGACTGTCCCCGATCTTATACACTAAACTCTCGGTGAAGAAAGGAAAATAGAGGGAGGGAAGAACCAAGGGAAAAGACTCACCGAAGTCTGTTTTTCCTCAAAACCCGATAACTTTGAACTCGCCCATACCGGACTTTAATTTCATGGGTTTGCCTATATCTCTAATGTTACTAATTACGCAAAGGTGTTACTGTAAAGTTATTGGTCTGGAAGAGGGCACAATTTTAAAACCGGACGCACAAAATTCCCTCTCCCAGTCTTCATAGTAACGTTTCTAACAACTCCGTTTTTTCCCGGATAGAGCTCAGGAACCACTGCCAACGGCCAATGAAGAAGCGGGGCGTTATCTATCTTAACAACCACCACTGTTCCCAGTTTAATATTTGGAACGTCTTTATTTGATTTTTCTCTGACTTGCAAACTTGTAAGATATTCCAATCCCCAAGATCTCCAGAAATCCTGCACCTTTCTATCTAACAATTAAAACCTATCCAATTTATATTTAATTCTACAACGTCATCGGCAAGTAACCAACATAAAGGTCTTGAGTTTAATAACGCCTCTATTTGCACTAAAAGAGTGTTAAGTTCCTCATATGTCAAATCGCCGAGTACCTTGTGCAAGTGAAACTATTTACATTCCTTTCCCAAATTCCTCCGTCACTTGGACTCTGGGGACTTATAAACCGCCATTTTACTTCGTTCAAATTTAGTTCTCCTAATATAGCTTTTGTATATTCTTCTGAATTAACAAACTAGTTTATATCCCTTAAAACAGTTTTTGCACAAACAAAAGAAGTCCACTGATCGGAGTACAGTATTTTGCAAGGACCGCTTCTTGCCTAGAGTATTTTAAAATCTTCCAAAAAATGATGACTACTTAAAGACGTTATTAGTTCTTAGCCTTGTTACTTAAATAAACGGCTAACAAACAATATCCCTTACCACTGTATTTCTTTTTTTAGCCAAGGTGTATTCATAGGTCCGAAATAATCAACGCCTATATGTAAGAATGGTTTGGTAGCAGTAACTCTAAGTTTCGGCAAAACCGCCATGAAGGGTGTCAAAGGTTTTGGTTTTGATCTAAAACAGCGGTTGCATTTGAAAATCCTCTTTGTTATTATATTCCTAACGCCGAGAATCCAATATTTTTGAGCAGCAAAGCTAATATAAATATAAAGCGTAAATATGAGCCTCTATGCAAATAAATAATATGATAACAATCAATTATTCTTTCAACTAATGGTTTCTTTCCAGGAAGAATCAAAGGGTGCCTTCCTAAAAAATTAAGGGACGAATTGTTTAGTCTACCTCCGACCATTAGCAATCCCTCTTGCAAAAATGTATGTAACCTTTTTAGATTAGTTTTACAAGGTTTACCTTGCTGGAGCCGTTCCATTTTCGATTCAAAATGCTTAATTTGAATTAGGCAGGCAACATAATTCTGCTCTTCTAAGGGCCAAAGCAGTAACCAATGTTTGTGTAGGATTTATTTTTATAAACATTAAGATTCGTACCGTAATATGTAATATTTTTTGCCAATTCGAAGTGGTTCCCACCTCCACCACCCTCACTCACTCTCAATTGAATCGCGAACAATAAAAATTCGTCTTTCCAAAGTATCTGCTTCTATTGTTGACATAGACGATTCCGATTCCGAAGATTTCAGCCAAATGGGACCCGAAAGCCAGAGATCGTGATTAATTAGTTGTGTAGGCGTTAAACTCCTTGACAACCAATCCGTAGGATTACTTTTTCCGTCGATATGTCGCCAAACCGTATTGAGAATGTACCTTAAACCATTTATCAGCAGAATTATCATTAAAGTTGTTTTAAGAACTCGATTCTTGAGAGCTGGAACTCTGAGTTTGATGAATCGTGGCTACTGGTTTTTACCACACTGTCCACATGGGCTCTTGGAACATTGACATACTCGTGAAACTGCACAAAAAACAAATTTTTGGTTTTGACCAGCTAGTACCGTTAATTGTAAATCATTGCTTTAAACTTTTCACATCTGCTCAAGAAACAACCTCCTATCTTACATAACACACAAAAGGGAGGTTTATTATCTTTATTATCGTTATTGCAGACAAAAAATGTTCGTAAATTTTTATTTTTACTGAACCCGCTAGTTCTAGCTCCCGTCGTTTTTTTAATTTTAGTTAACTCTTTAACAAATTGTATTAAATCCGATTTTCGAACGATTTAACCGTCTCCTCGTCTAGCTTTGACAGCGCGTGGTAAAGCAACATAAAGTCCAATAAATCCGGTATGTCGATTTTTTTTACTGCATTTTCCGAAGCATTAAAATTTTGCAAAAAATAGTTCAATTTTTTTCTGATTCCGTGTGTTATTGTTTAAAATTAACAATTTGGTGTAAGTAAGTGCTGGCGAATAACCTTTTGATGTGAATATTTATCTAAAAGAGACTTCCAAATTATATCGTAATTATCACCCGATACTGCAATATTCACAAAAAAGCCGATCCATTTAAATACAATAAAACATTTCTCAGTTTTTTGGCTTACCGTAAAGATCCGGAATTTCGAATTTTGGCAAAAGACTCGTCACATTACTCATTTAGTTTTATTTTGGTATATTCGTCAACACATTTCATTGGTAATAACTTTATACTCCGGTTTAAAATTTTCATTCATTTCAAAACCTACTTAGTTTATCTGATCTAAAATTTGTAAAATATCGGTCCGAGTTCAATCCATAGATTGGTACACTGATATACAATTTATTAATTTTATTTTACGTTCAAAGATCTTTTGATAAGTCATAAAAGTTTTGAATGATCGAATATATCGCCTTTTTTTGGATGGTTAACATTTTAAATTTTCTATCATTTGAGGTCATTTTTACCGAACCTATCCTTTAAGCACTGAAAATTTGGCAATATATATTTCCTTACTTGGTCCGAAGCAATCTTTTAACTTTCTGAAAAAAAAAACGCGTGCTGGGAAGGTTCAACAAAATACGAAAATCGTTGAACTTTAAATTCGTTCGCAAATCAAAATTTATCTTATTATGATTGCATTTACTAAAGGCATCCAATATTCAACCGTTTTATTATTTCGCCGCTGTAGATATGCCGGGATATATCTTTTTTGCAGATACATGTGCTGCTCCTAATTTAATAATTTTAATGAGTCGAAGATCACTGAAATGAAAGAAAACCCGTCAACACCGTAAGTCACAAAACCGCACAACCGAAAAAAACTGCACTGCAAAAATCAAAATATGTATTACGCTGGCTTATGTATGAACTGCTGGTATCCGGCTCGAAGAGATCAAAATTATGTTGTGACCCTTAGCCAACTTGTCGTTATTAAATTTAATTTTGACTTACCCGGACTGTCCGCGATTTGATACGCTAAACTCTCGGTGAAGAAAGTAAAATAGAGGGAGGCAAGAACCCTGGGGAAAAAACTCACCCAAGTTCGTATTCTCCAAAACCCGATAACTTTGAAGTCACATATACGGGACTTTAAATTCGTGAGTTTACCGACCGATGCTGATTTTCGACTGACTTAGATTGGTTTCAGAAAGATGCAAATAAAACAAATAAATTGAAACTGGCGCAAACAAACATAATGGAGATCAATTTGAGCAACACTTGTGATCTAGCAATAAATTTAAGATTTTTCTTTTGCATAGTTACAATGTTGTTTTTGTTTGAATTTTTTTAATCAATAATCACTAGTTTTATTATATTATATTTTATTATATTAGGGGTCTTTTAGGTGAAATAAAATTTACCAAAATTGTTCTGTTTTGAATAAAATAAGGTTTTTTATAACCTGTCATATCAAACTAACAAAAACGAATATCCACCATAGCATTATGCAAAAACTATATAGGGTGACTCAAAAATATTATGTTTGATTTATTCCTTGAAAAGAATTGAAAATATAAAATCCGAGTATACCGCTGAATTTTGCTAGAAAAAACGGCAAGAAACTCACTTTTGACTTTTCTAATAAGCTTTAGAATAACCGTCAGGTTTCCAAAATGCACGCCGTATCTCAAAAATCAAAAATTCTGTGCATCTTTGGTTTCTAGAAGAAGCACCGTATCCTGAAAACTACATCCCTGTATCAGTACTAATATGCGAGATACACTGTTTTGGATTTTTCACAAAGTTTGACGTGGCCTTCAAGTTAGATCGAGTGCTAATCTGAAGGGCACTTTATACAGAGTGCGCGTACAAAATATTTTCATTTATTATGACTAAGTTACATCATGGTCCGTAGTAACCACGATAGAAAAACAGAAATAGAATAGAATTTTAATACATTGTCGTTTTCTGCTATACAGGAAACTAATACTTATGCTTAAATTTGCAGTTGCTACAACAGAACTACCCGTTTGTAAACTCAGAAGCATATTTCAACGGTCTCGTCGAACGAAGTTTAACAGAACGGTAGAATCAATAATTAAATTCAATTTCAATTCAATTAAATTTATTTTTCGAATTATTTTTCAATTTGACTGTTTTTTGTTATAAAAATAAAACTTGTGCCATGAAGTGAATTTTATTGCCCGTTTTAGGTAGTTAGTAATTAGTAGAAATCCTATTTCGCTGGATCGATTTAAGCATCTTGCAAATCTCGACAAACTGGCCTTGTTGGCACAGCCAATAACGAACAAGTTCATAACTGTTTCCAAACTAGTGGTAAAGTTAGAAAAAAGATATTGTATTGGACTAAAATCCCTGCCATTAATTTATAGCCACCAGTGCACATATGGCAAAATAGGTACTTTATAGGAACAAAACATATCCACTGATTTTATTTCAGTACAAAATTAACCCGTAAATTTTTAGCATAGACCTCATTAGGCTTTTAATTTATGTACAAGGTGTAACAAATTAAAAATTTTCCGATGGCTTTATTTTTGCTCGCATGCTCGATAAATTAGGGAAAACAATTTAAAAAGGCCGGTTTAAAGGTAAAAGTATATTTAAAAATAAAATTTAGAGTTTCAGATTTTTTAAAAATATTTAACTTAGAAAGATTTTTGGTAGTTTTTAACAAAATAAGAAGCAAAACAATAAAACAAAAGTTTCTTTTAATTCATATTGACAGGGTGAAAGAATTTTTTATTTCCTATTTATAAGCATTACATGTTTTGGTTAGTAATTGGCAATTACCGAATCAGATTTAGAGGCAATTGATTTTTTCTGTTTTTGACGCTTTCTTTTGCCTCTTGGCTTCTTGCCTGTCATTCTTTGTTGTCCATTTTCCTAGAAATGTATGTGTTGTAACTCATGATATTTGGGGGTTGTAAATTGCTTTCATGTTCTCTTTTGTTTCTTTTTTTAATTTAAAATTTATAACACGGCAATATCTAGTTGAAGATGGACTTAGTTCTTCCAAAAAATTTGAAGGCAAAGTTTTGCTTGTAAAAGCTGTGACCACCGCTACCGTCAAGACCCCATTTATAAAAAAAAAACATTTATGTTTATGACTTCTGCAACATTCTGCAACAACACTTCAGAATTAATACGTGCTAGCCGACTTATAGTTAAATCCAACAGGTTTTGTAATGGGATCGTAGCCTCTGTCTTTATGGACAACATTTTTTTTTGCATTAGGAATAGTAGGGTATAAAGGATAGATTTTAGCTCCCCTTCTTTTTGCTTCTCTTGGAAGTGTTATATAGTCGTCTTTAGTTAAGTCCAAGGCCGTAAGCTTTTTGCGTGGTATAAACTTCCGTAGTGGGGGTTGAAGATGAAGCATGGGCCTGTTCCATTTTATTTAAGTCTTTTTGGTGTCGAGTACAGTGTATTGGTATAAAAAAGTTACCTCTACTTCCATCCAAAAATTATTACTTTTCAAAAATCTTTTTTCAATTTGATGGCTTTGTTTTCATTTTATTAAAATGTTGGACACACTTTTAGCCCCTTCTCTGATGATTGTTTATAAAAATTAACAGGCTTTAAGACTATAAACAGTTCTTTTCTGCTTACACTAACATTCCTCAAATTAGTCGGACACAGGTATGAGGTATGAGGCATTATCAGCTCTACGGAACATAGTTGTCGGTTCTTCAAATAGGTAACGTAGGCTTCTTTGCACAGGTATTCATTTCCTTGTAGTTCAATACATTTTTGATCCTTAAAGGCATATTTGTTATGACTCAGTATAAGGTGTGGTTTTAGGAATATATTGACATAAAATTGGGAATCTTTTCCGGTCGGGATTGGTAACGATAAGATTTGATAGTATTGATAGATTTCTGCTTCAATTAATGGTACTTCAAGGATAATCGTAACTACTGATTACGGAACAAAAATTAGTAAATTCTCGAGAAATATTTCAAGCGGTAATTGAGCCTGCAGATTTTTATTACAATTTTTAATTTCTTCAAAGGATTAATAATTGAGTTACGAATAGTATTCAATTTTTGAAAACTAATAGCGGCTTCAAGTATTTCATATATTAAATTGTACTTTACATTCAATTGGTTTATTATGACTATGTACTCATTTGAAAGTAGTCAAAATCGTTCATTTGTTGTAATGCAATTTTTTTAACTGTGTCTTCGATTTGCAGCATTGTCGATTTCAGGATAATTTTGGATTTTAGAATATTGGATATTATATTATGAAACGTGTTGATTGTCTCTTCTAATAATATTATTTTGTTAATTGAATTGGTTTTGAGTTTATTTTGGTTTTCTTGCAGTCATTTTGATCTAAATTACCAGTAATACGTGTTATACGGAGTACTTTAATCTGTTTGTTTACAATAATCTCAATGTTAGTAGTAGTAATGCTGACTAAGAAGCGCGTGATTCCTCAACGTTCTAGAACTCTTCGACGCCGACTGTTCAGCTACCGTATAAATACCTGGCATGCCACAGGAACAACGGAATTTGTTATATTTAGTAGAAATTTGTTTTTTAAAATCCAGTTGGTTATTATTCTGTAATTGTTCAGTTTAAAAAAAGTGCTGTTTTAAAATTGCGTTATGTTCTAAGAGAGTAGTTTTAGTACCAATTGGATTCAACAAGCCTCTTTTATTTCTTGATTCATTCATTCAAAGGCTTTATTTCATTAATTTGGGTATTATATTAGTAGTTATTAAGTACAACATAGGCTTCCCCCACTCCTCTCCCTTTTGTGGGCGTGTCCTCCTTCCCCACGACTCTTTAGCTCCTCCCCCTTTACCCATAATCCCTTGAAACTGGCCCCCATTGGATAAGCAAGCACCAATGGGGTTTAATCAATCTCCTCACCTCTAGTTTGCGATGGCGGCGAAGCCAATCAGAGCCCAAATATTTTCCCACCCCTAAGAAAAGCAATGGCGTCAATGAGACTTGATCATATTGTCCGCGTGACCATCTGCACCCTCTAGCGGTTCGAATGTAAACTAGTGTCCCCTCTTGGAATAAGATTTTCTTTAATAAGGTAACCCCACCTAGTGAATATTGACCAAAGCATTTATTTTAAAAACATATAGTTCTGCGAATGTGTACCCTCGCGGGTACAAACTGTACTTTTTTGCGCCCAAAGGACAGAGGAAATAAAGACGAAAAGTGTTGGATTTCTTTTTTCAGAACTGGAAGCTGTGTGGCACCACCATTAATATCTGCAAAACAAAAACCTGGTTAAAATTTTCATTAATAAAGTAGGATATTAGAAACCATATACCTTTTCAATTTACTAAGCCATCTACCGTGCTTTAACTTCATACATATTTCCGCATGCTTCTGTTTTAAGGTATCGTGAAATATTTGACTATTTATCTGGGAAAAATTCATATGTCGAAAATATTATGTGTATGTGGCCGTGGTAGGCTTTCTTTGCTATTATAATTTTATTTTTATTATTTAATATTTACAAAATTAATTTATCTATCTTATTGATGATTCTGATTTTCTTTGCTATTTTATTATTTGTTTTTATTATTTAATATTTTCAAAATTAATTTATCTATCTTATTGATGATTTTAAGATATCGCAGTCAACTTTACTATTTCATCAATTTCTTTTATTTATTGCTGATCTTTGAGGATAGTGTACATACTTTTTTTCGTAACTTATCTGTATCTACCCTTTAATTTCCTATCAAGCCATAAAACAAACTCGAAAGGCATCTTAACTAAAAAGTCATATACTTTAAAGCTGCTGCGACTACTACATGAAAGTGTGTTTCTATGCAATCTCAACAATAATGAAATCTGGACGCTTATATTAAATACTGTAATACTCTTCTCTGCTAACGCGCTAGGAGACGCTATTTGAACCCTGTTCAAAGAAAAACTTCTACAGCCCAAATAACCTCTCTGAACCACACTTAAGCGCATCACTCTTTCACTGTCTTGCAGCCTTCAGATTAATATTCCGCACTAACTACGTATGCCATACACGAAACGTTCTCTTTTCTAATTTTTTTCTATGCGCTACATTAACGAACAGGATCTGAACTTTTCTGTCTGTGTATTTTGTTAGCCACCTTAAAAAAAAATAAAAAAAGGTATGCGAACCTAGAGGATATTTTCCATATTTTTCACAAATGGTGACAACAATTAATGCAAGTATTATTTTTAATAATAATCCATCTTTCGCTATGACACGAAAACATCCATTTTTTAATTCTAACTTTTCTCATAGAGCTTCCCTTTAGTCTCTATCTGTTCTTTAACTAAATCCCCGCCTTTTTGAAAAACCAACCTCTAAAAATAGTTAATTTTCTCTAATATAAATTTGTACGTTTTCCGCAATATGTGTGAATATTTTTGCTAGAGCATTTAGTTACTTAGTACATGTCCTAATCAATATTTTAAAAATATAATTCTAATGATACGTGTTTACGATTTGAAGATAACGAAACATTCCCCAGTTTTATAAACGAGAGCTCACTGCCAAACTACCAAACATCACAGTACAAACTACCGTACTACGCCCCCCCCTTGGACAAAATCAGGTTAGTCAGCGTCATTAATTCTACCTGCGTTAACGAATAGCGAATTGTTAATTAAGGTTTAATACGCAGAAAATTTAAGTAACAAATAATTGCAATGAAACTCAATAACATCATAAATTATTCAAAAAAAAAAATAGAACAGTTGGAATTTACTGGAGTAACCAATTTGGCACTAAAAATGGAAATTTTCGATACTCTACTAGGTGCCTACAATAAATTTTACTATTATTTTTAATGCAGAGACACAACGATTTTCTAGTTCTGAATTTGATCAGGGGTATATGACCATAGTTTACGCCGACTCTAAAAGGCATGCAGTCTATTGTTTTTGAACGCCCCATTTTGTGTATTATGTTCAAAACAGAGACTCTCTGGGCTTACGACTACAGCTACCAGCTACTACTTTCAATAATATTAACACAAAAAAAAGTAGGTGGCATTTCTATAATACGTGCAAAGTTTATGTGAAACTGACTGGAAGACAGAGTAATGCACCAATATGTTACTAAACATATTTCCATAGAATTCCGTAAGAGCTTACCTCCAAGTTTTCTCATTTAGTCAGTCAAAGCATCAAATGGGAAATTCCAATCCAACATATGTAGTGGTGGAAATATATCAATCGCCTACGTTACCGATGGTACCCGACTGAAGCTTCTGCGTCTTCTTTACCCCACATGCCTACTTAAAAAGATACTGGTCTAAGTCTCAATATTCCTGTTAAAAAAAGAGAGGTTCTATATTGCCATAAATATGTGTTTTCAAAATTTTACCTGAATGGTTCGTGATTCCTTATATATGCAGTGTTGGCAGCAATGTGGCGACGACTACGCTGAAACTTTCCATATCTCGTGTCCCCATGACTGGTCTGTTTCATATATGAAAGCTCACCTCGCACGGGTTTGAACCTCCTTTAAAAAAAAAAGGCAAGACTTATACTTATCATATCAAAGTAATATGAGGAACTTATATTTTATGCCAAAACTTATTTCATCACCTCCAAAGGGGAGTAGGGGTTTCTAAAGTATGGTAGGTACATCTCTTTCATTTTTTAATTAAAAAAGTGACACAATTACGCGACGTAACTCGATCCGGATCGTTCACGCGTCTCAAGATGGGGGGTTTAGAGATGCTGAGGTCATTAAATTGATTCACTAATACCAGTACATACTGAAACCCCTTATTTCCAAAATAAAAAATTGTTAACTGTTAACACAAAAAAAAAACTTATTTTCTCACCAATTATATTTCTGGGGTCGTTTTCAGAATTTGTCCAACGTAGAATCCCAAGAGGATAGGGCCGCAATTTCGAAAAATGTTCATGTCTCCCCACTATGCATTTGTACACGAAGCAGGGCCGGATTAACAGCAATTATATTCTTGTCAGTCAACATACAGCCGCCGATTGAATTCTCGGATTCTGCTTTACTAGTTGCCATGGTCTGTCAAATATGTTACTTAAAAAATTGTATATTTTTTTACAAATACCTTTCCTAAAATAATTCTGCCTTTGTCAAGTTGGACAAGGGCACGTCTGTCCGTTTTGAAAAGCGCGGCGTATGTATCTTCCAAAATGATCCAAGCAGGCTCGGATTGCCAGCAAATACACAACTCGCCGATTCAATTCTGAGATGTTGCTTCACGAGTTACCATGATCTGTCAAATATTTTAATTAAAAAAAAAATCTAATATTTAGCAACAATATACCTTTTTAAAAATAATTTCGTCTTTTTCAAGTTCAACAGGACACGTGTGTTCGTTTCAGTTGGACAAGGGCACGTCTGTCCGCTTTGAAAAGCGCGGCGTATGTATCTTCCAAAATGATCCAAATTGTTAACCTTTTTTTGATTCCTCGTTATGCAAATCTAAATGGAGCAGGCTCGGATTGTCAGCAAATACACAACTCGCCGATTCAATTCTGAGATGTTGCTTCACGAGTTACCGTGATCTGTCAAATATTTTAATTAAAAAAAAATCTATTATTTAGCAACAATATACCTTTTTAAAAATAATTTCGTCTTTTTCTAGTTCAACAGGACACGTGTGTTCGTTTCGAAAGGTTTCGTAGTCTGTAGCTCTGTCGAATTCTCCAAAATTCGTTAAACCTTCAGATATTTTCAAAATTTGTCCAACGCGGACTTCCACTCACCCAGTTTCGAAAACTTTCTGGTCTCCCCGCCATGCATTTGTACACGAAGCAGGGCTCGACTATCAGCAAACAGCACCCCCGGTCACTTTTCTTCTCGGATTCTGCTTGACGAGTTACATCGATCTATGGAATATTTAGCGTAAAAAAAAATTATCTATTACTTTTACCAAAAATGAAGTACCTTTTTTCTTTAAAATTTTGTTCCTCCTTTTCGAGTTCGGAATTTTTCGTAGTCTATATCGTCTGCCAATTGTCCAAAATCGTTGGACTTTCAGTAATTTTCAAAATTCGCCCCAACGCAGCCTTCCACGCACGCACGCAGTTTCGAAATCTTTCAGGTCTTCCCGCTATGCAACTGTACACGAAGCAGGGTCGGATTGTCAGCAAACAGCACCCCCGGTCACTTTTCTTCTCGGATTCTGCTTGACGAGTTACATCGATCTGTGGAATATTTAGCGTAAAAAAAAAATTATCTATTACTTTTACCAAAAATGAAGTACCTTTTTTCTTTAAAATAGTTCATCCTTTTCGAGTTTGAAAGGTTTCGTAGCCTATAGCCCTGCCGAAATGTCTTTGCATTTGTACACGAAGCAGGGTCGGATTGTCAGCAAACAGCACAAGCGCCACTTTTCTTCTCGGTTTCTGCTTGACGAATTACATCGATCGGTCAAATATTTAATATAAAAAATATCTATTTTACCAAAAATACGTACTCTTCTAAGATAAATTAGCTCTTTTCGAGTTTAAGAGGACACGTATCGTCAACTGTAGGATGTTATATTATTATATTTTCCAGTGTCTATAAATTAATAAACAACAGAAGCTTCCGAATACAAAAATTTCAACATGAGTTTTTTTTTCTTGAAACTTAAAAAGTTCTAACTCCTAAAACCATATTTTTAATACGCTGGCGGACGTATGACAATCCCCAAAAATTACCATATTTAAATTGTTACTATTGATATATTTCTATTCCGAACTTAACTCAATACATGCAAAAAAAACTAGCGAATGTTAATTATTATCTCCGATGGGTGGATGATTGAGAAAACGTTTAAATAAATCTACCTTTCTGTCTCTCTTTTTCTATATAGGTAACTCATTCTCTCTATCTGTTACTTTCCACAATCCGAATTTACACTTTGTCCCCCAAAAATCTTGTAAAATTTTATCTGCTTAACTTCTTCGCGTTGTTCATAAGGCTGAATTTTTTGGGAGATATATCGTGCGTTATTTCTATTAAAATTCTGTTTCCTTTTTACGTACTTCAAAAACGTAAGCGAGCATTTTTGGTTGTTTTATTAAACAAAAATGGATACTAAAAAAAGATCCGTATCTCCGACCTCAGCCTCCTTTGATCACTCCCCAATTTTTTTTTAATTAACTATAGAAACCTCGTCGAACATATACATAATACTAGGTCAAAATGTTACGCGGTTACTCATTAAAGTCGCAATTCCCAAAGCTTCTTAAATATCTTTTTCCAGTCTTTTTTGTTTTATTTATCCGTATATGAAACACACAATGAACACAAAACTTAAACTCGTTGGCGATTTTGCATTAAGCAACAAACATGGATAACAGAAACGAACCCTTAACACAAACGCTTCTTTAAACTTCGACTGACACGTGAAACAACCCGCATTCCTACGAAAGGCAGGTAAACCAAGCAGGTCAAATTTTAAGCTACCCTCCAGTGTCGTCGTAGGTTGGGGCATAGTAAATAGCGAATACAACAAAGCGGTAATTTATAATAATTTAATTTGCATTTTATTTAACTTAAGTTGTTATGTAGAAAATGAGACATTTCTACAATTGATCAATATACTACGAGTACTTTTCCGCTTAATTACTATTTTGAGAAACAAAAGGAAACGTTAGATTCCATTCAAACTTTTTCAGTTTTCATAATATCTCGCGTTTATTTAGAAGCTAATGGCCTGTGGCCTTAACCAGACGTTTCCAAAGGCTGGTTTGATATTATGTATATAAATCTTAACAAACACGAAAAATAGAGTTATATTGCCACCGAAAATCTGAATTTATGTTTAAAAATGTAACTTCCCGTATTTAAACTATTGCCTGCATTGGCGCCTATATTTTATAGTTTTTTTTTTGTATCCTATTTTTTGTTTTGCTTGCAAATGTGTGTCCATTTTCGGGTACTGAATTTTTGTTCTCAAATTATTACAAATTACTCAAAACGGAGTTAAAAAGAGACGAGGAGAAAAGGGAAGAACCCTTATTTCTTCGACACTGACCTCCGATTTTTATAAAAATTGACGCCTTGACACCCTGCCCGTGAATATTTTGTAAAGGATTTTTAAAATTTAACTTCCAAATAACGCATACTCTCGCCTAGTGTCACAGTTTTGGGCCCCATTTTGCTATGGTTAGACAGGTTTATTCTTGTACATTGTCGGGACAAAAGAAGCATCTCCTTCATCCAAATTGGACTTTTTCATACCTAATACAACAGCTCCCGGGCATCATCTCGCCTTAATTGTTTCTATTGAATTAATTTTAGTTACAAAAAATTAGATGATCGTCAAAATTGGCATAAAAAGATAATCAAGATTTAATTAAACAAGAATATGCACAAAAGAAAAGAGATAAACTCCGACACGGGAAACAAGGAAATATCGCTGAAACGGCAACTGATCTAGCGCGCGCCTTTTTTAAAAATAATAATAATTTTTCAAAAGAATTCTAGGCTAAGCTAAATACCTGGTGCAACAAAATATTGAAGGATCTTCATGATCCTACCTGTGAGCGAGTAGAAAATTATTTGCAAAGAGGATAAAGGTATATCTTGATATAAATAGTTTATAAATTATTTCACTATTGATAATATGTCCCCTTTTAAAATGGAGCATTATTTGATACGTACTTTTTTCTTGTCAGAGCTTGTCTAAAAAAAAAGCGGGATGGATGGAGGTTCTCCGTCAGGTTTTTTCCTGTCGAAACAAGTATGTGAGGCGTTCGCTTTGGATCTGGGGAACGGGTGGGGGTTATACATATATAAGCTATAAGAAATTTTAATTTTTTATTCAGTTTCCACTCATATAATTTCGTGATAAGTGCAGAGTGAGAAAAATGGACACCCCGAAAATTTCAAGATTGTTAAAGTAAGTGATTCCTTCCCTCTTACGTATCTTTTGGAAGATATGGAGAGGCGTTAAATCAAAGGTTCGTTTTATGAAGTCGAATTACAAAAACCGTACTACCAAAGTCGATCGACTATTTGGTTTAATTTATTAATTTAATTAATTTCATAGCTTTTGTCAAAAACCGATTTTGTGCGACTTATGCTCACTGCATCGCCAGCTTTGAACTTTGACTTTTTCACTGCAAATTTTTTTTGGTAAATTATGTGCGAGAATCTCCGTTGTTGGGGTAATTTCTGAAGGTTTCATTCCGGTGGTACTATGTTTTGTTTGATTATATTTTGTTGTTATTTTTTTTTTCTTTAATAAATTTATTTTACGCAATTATTTGTTTTTTTTTTACTTTTTTTTTATAGGGGTAAGGATAAAACATACACACATACTGAATTTTTAAAAACATTTATTATTATTAGTTTACAGGTAAATTTCTATTAAAACACAGGTATGTCCCATGCTATCCTTTTGTTGATATCTTGTTTTATCTGCATTTTTCCAAAACGCATGTAGTCCTCCATGCAGTAGCTGTGCTCACTCTCTTCTGTAGAACATAAATATTCTATATGCGGAAAGATTTTGGCGTCTTGCAGCAAATTTTCATGTATAGTCAAATACAATATTCTATCGTAGTACTCGTAAAAGTTCAAACGAGACAGTACTCGTATTCTTTTAAATACCAATTTGCTTATGGTAATTAATTCCTGTACCCAGTCTTTCGAAATATAGAGTATACCCTCGCTATTTTCAATCTTGACCAAGACTTCACCATCACATTGTAGACAGGTGAGTTTGAAGCAGGTTAAATACATAACTTTACCAGTCGGGCCTGCTAACAATAACAGTGGAAGCTGTTGTATTAATTCTGTGAAGTCTATCTCGTCGAACGAAATGCTTCTTTTCTCCGACAAAACGTAGGGGAGAAAGCTCACTTTCACTGCCGGAGCGAAGATTCTTGCTGGGCTAAGACCTGAGGTAATTTCTAGTCCGAATTCCGGCAGCGTAATTGCTGCCTCGTAAATGTATTTTTGTTCGCGGATTATTTCCGCATTGACCACAAATCTTCCCCACGAATCCAATGCTTGCGTTGAATAATTTTCGACTTCGGACATTTTTCTCACTCTGCACTTATCACGAAATTGTATGAGTGGAAACTGAATAAAAAATTAAAATTTCTTATAGCTTATATATGTATAACCCCCACCCGTTCCCCAGATCCAAAGCGAACGCCTCACATACTTGTTTCGACAGGAAAACACCTGACGGAGAACCTCCATCCATCCCGCTTTTTTTTTTAGACAAGCTCTGACAAGAAAAAAGTACGTATCAAATAATGCTCCATTTTAAAAGGGGATAAATATAAACCTGTCTAACCATAGCAAAATGGGGCCCAAAACTGTGACACTAGGCGAGAGTATGCGTTATTTGGAAGTTAAATTTTAAAAATCCTTTGCAAAATATTCACGGGCAGGGTGTCAAGGCGTCAATTTTTATAAAAATCGGAGGTCAGTGTCGAAGAAATAAGGGTTCTTCCCTTTTCTCCTCGTCTCTTTTTAACTCCGTTTTGAGTAATTTGTAATAATTTGAGAAAAAAAATTCAGTACCCGAAAATGGACACACATTTGCAAGCAAAACAAAAAATAGGATACAAAAAAAAAACTATAAAATATAGGCGCCAATGCAGGCAATAGTTTAAATACGGGAAGTTACATTTTTAAACATAAATTCAGATTTTCGGTGGCAATATAACTCTATTTTTCGTGTTTGTTAAGATTTATATACATAATATCAAACCAGCCTTTGGAAACGTCTGGTTAAGGCCACAGGCCATTAGCTTCTAAATAAAGGAATCTAACGTTTCCTTTTGTTTCTCAAAATAGTAATTAAGCGGAAAAGTACTCGTAGTATATTGATTAATTGTAGAAATGTCTCATTTTCTACATAACAACTTAAGTTAAATAAAATGCAAATTAAATTATTATAAATTACTGCTTTGTTGTATTCGCTATTTACTATGCCCCAACCTACGACGACACTGGAGGGTAGCTTAAAATTTGACCTGCTTGGTTTACCTGCCTTTCGTAGGAATGCGGGTTGTTTCACGTGCCAGTCGAAGTTTAAAGAAGCGTTTGTGTTAAGGGTTCGTTTCTGTTATCCATGTTTGTTGCTTAATGCAAAATCGCCAACGAGTTTAAGTTTTGTGTTCATTGTGTGTTTCATATATGGATAAATAAAACAAAAAAGACTGGAAAAAGATAGGTAAGAAGCTTTCGGAATTGCGACTTTAATGAGTAACCGCGTAACATTTTGACCTAGTATTATGTATATGTTCGACGAGGTTTCCATAGTTAATTAAAAAAAAATTGGGGAGTGATCAAAGGAGGCTGAGGTCGGAGATACGGATCTTTTTTTAGTATCCATTTTTGTTTAATAAAACAACCAAAAATGCTCGCTTACGTTTTTGAAGTAGGTAAAAAGGAAACAGAATTTTAATAGAAATAACGCACGATATATCTCCCAAAAAATTCAGCCTTATGAACAACGCGAAGAAGTTAAGCAGATAAAATTTTACAAGATTTTTGGAGGACAAAGTGTAAATTCGGATTGTGGAAAGTAACAGATAGAGAGAATGAGTTACCTATATAGAAAAAGAGAGACAGAAAGGTAGATTTATTTAAACGTTTTCTCAATCATCCACCCATCGGAGATAATAAATAACATTCGCTAGTTTTTTTTGCATGTATTGAGTTAAGTTCGGTATAGAAATATATCAATAGTAACAATTTAAATATGGTAATTTTTGGGGATTGTCATACGTCCGCCAGCGTATTAAAAATATGGTTTTAGGAGTTAGAACTTTTTAAGTTTCAAGAAAAAAAAAACTCATGTTGAAATTTTTGTATTCGGAAGCTTCTGTTGTTTATTAATTTATAGACACTGGAAAATATAATAATAAAACATCCTACAGTTGACGATACGTGTCCTCTTAAACTCGAAAAGAGCTAATTTATCTTAGAAGAGTACGTATTTTTGGTAAAATAGATATTTTTTATATTAAATATTTGACTGATCGATGTAATTCGTCAAGCAGAAACCGAGAAGAAAAGTGGCGCTTGTGCTGTTTGCTGACAATCCGACTCTGCTTTGTGTACAAATGCAAAGACATTTCGGCAGGGCTATAGGCTACGAAACCTTTCAAACTCGAAAAAGACGAACTATTTTAAAGAAAAAAGGTACTTCATTTTTGGTAAAAGTAATAGAATTTTTTTTTTTTTTACGCTAAATATTCCACAGATCGATGTAACTCGTCAAGCAGAATCCGAGAAGAAAAGTGACCGGGGGTGCTGTTTGCTGACAATCCGACCCTGCTTCGTGTACAGTTGCATAGCGGGAAGACCTGAAAGATTTCGAAACTGCGTGCGTGCGTGGAAGGCTGCGTTGGGGCGAATTTTGAAAATTACTGAAAGTCCAACGATTTTGGACAATTGGCAGACGATATAGACTACGAAAAATTCCGAACTCGAAAAGGAGGAACAAAATTTTAAAGAAAAAAGGTACTTCATTTTTGGTAAAAGTAATAGATAATTTTTTTTTACGCTAAATATTCCATAGATCGATGTAACTCGTCAAGCAGAATCCGAGAAGAAAAGTGACCGGGGGTGCTGTTTGCTGATAGTCCAGCCCTGCTTCGTGTACAAATGCATGGCGGGGAGACCAGAAAGTTTTCGAAACTGGGTGAGTGGAAGTCCGCGTTGGACAAATTTTGAAAATATCTGAAGGTTTAACGAATTTTGGAGAATTCGACAGAGCTACAGACTACGAAACCTTTCGAAACGAACACACGTGTCCTGTTGAACTAGAAAAAGACGAAATTATTTTTAAAAAGGTATATTGTTGCTAAATAATAGATTTTTTTTTAATTAAAATATTTGACAGATCATGGTAACTCGTGAAGCAACATCTCAGAATTGAATCGGCGAGTTGTGTATTTGCTGACAATCCGAGCCTGCTCCATTTAGATTTGCATAACGAGGAATCAAAAAAAGGTTAACAATTTGGATCATTTTGGAAGATACATACGCCGCGCTTCTCAAAGCGGACAGACGTGCCCTTGTCCAACTGAAACGAACACACGTGTCCTGTTGAACTTGAAAAAGACGAAATTATTTTTAAAAAGGTATATTGTTGCTAAATAATAGATTTTTTTTTTTAATTAAAATATTTGACAGATCATGGTAACTCGTGAAGCAACATCTCAGAATTGAATCGGCGAGTTATGTATTTGCTGGCAATCCGAGCCTGCTTGGATCATTTTGGAAGATACATACGCCGCGCTTTTCAAAGCGGACAGACGTGCCCTTGTCCAACTTGACAAAGGCAGAATTATTTTAGGAAAGGTATATTATTTGTAAAAAAATATACAATTTTTTAAGTAACATATTTGACAGACCATGGCAACTAGTAAAGCAGAATCCGAGAATTCAATCGGCGGCTGTATGTTGACTTACTAGAATATAATTGCTGTTAATCCGGCCCTGCTTCGTGTACAAATGCATAGTGGGGAGACATGAACATTTTTCGAAATTGCGGCCCTATCCTCTTGGGATTCTACGTTGGACAAATTCTGAAAACGACCCCAGAAATATAATTGGTGAGAAAATAGTTTTTTTTTTGTGTTAACAGTTAACAATTTTTTATTTTGGAAATAAGGGGTTTCAGTATGTACTGGTATTAGTGAATCAATTTAATGACCTCAGCATCTCTAAACCCCCCATCTTGAGACGCGTTAACGATCCGGATCGAGTTACGTCGCGTAATTGTGTCACTTTTTTAATTAAAAAATGAAAGAGATGTACCTACCATACTTTAGAAACCCCTATTCCCCTTTGGAGGTGATAAAATGAGTTTTGGCATAAAATATAAGTTCCTCATATTACTTTGATATAATAAGTATAAGTCTTGCCTTTTTTTTTTAAAGGAGGTTCAAACCCGTGCGAGGTGAGCTTTCATATATGAAACAGACCAGTCATGGGGACACGAGATATGGAAAGTTTCAGCGTAGTCGTCGCCACATTGCTGCCAACACTGCATATATAAGGAATCACGAACCATTCAGGTAACATTTTGAAAACACATATTTATGGCAATATAGAACCTCTCTTTTTTAACAGGAATATTGAGACTTAGACCAGTATCTTTTTAAGTAGGCATGTGGGGTAAAGAAGACGCAGAAGCTTCAGTCGGGTACCATCGGTAACGTAGGCGATTGATATATTTCCACCACTACATATGTTGGATTGGAATTTCCCATTTGATGCTTTGACTGACTAAATGAGAAAACTTGGAGGTAAGCTCTTACGGAATTCTATGGAAATATGTTTAGTAACATATTGGTGCATTACTCTGTCTTCCAGTCAGTTTCACATAAACTTTGCACGTATTATAGAAATGCCACCTACTTTTTTTTGTGTTAATATTATTGAAAGTAGTAGCTGGTAGCTGTAGTCGTAAGCCCAGAGAGTCTCTGTTTTGAACATAATACACAAAATGGGGCGTTCAAAAACAATAGACTGCATGCCTTTTAGAGTCGGCGTAAACTATGGTCATATACCCCTGATCAAATTCAGAACTAGAAAATCGTTGTGTCTCTGCATTAAAAATAATAGTAAAATTTATTGTAGGCACCTAGTAGAGTATCGAAAATTTCCATTTTTAGTGCCAAATTGGTTACTCCAGTAAATTCCAACTGTTCTATTTTTTTTTTGAATAATTTATGATGTTATTGAGTTTCATTGCAATTATTTGTTACTTAAATTTTCTGCGTATTAAACCTTAATTAACAATTCGCTATTCGTTAACGCAGGTAGAATTAATGACGCTGACTAACCTGATTTTGTCCAAGGGGGGGGCGTAGTACGGTAGTTTGTACTGTGATGTTTGGTAGTTTGGCAGTGAGCTCTCATTTATAAAACTGGGGAATGTTTCGTTATCTTCAAATCGTAAACACGTATCATTAGAATTATATTTTTAAAATATTGATTAGGACATGTACTAAGTAACTAAATGCTCTAGCAAAAATATTCACACATATTGCGGAAAACGTACAAATTTATATTAGAGAAAATTAACTATTTTTAGAGGTTGGTTTTTCAAAAAGGCGGGGATTTAGTTAAAGAACAGATAGAGACTAAAGGGAAGCTCTATGAGAAAAGTTAGAATTAAAAAATGGATGTTTTCGTGTCATAGCGAAAGATGGATTATTATTAAAAATAATACTTGCATTAATTGTTGTCACCATTTGTGAAAAATATGGAAAATATCCTCTAGGTTCGCATACCTTTTTTTATTTTTTTTTAAGGTGGCTAACAAAATACACAGACAGAAAAGTTCAGATCCTGTTCGTTAATGTAGCGCATAGAAAAAAATTAGAAAAGAGAACGTTTCGTGTATGGCATACGTTGTTAGTGCGGAATATTAATCTGAAGGCTGCAAGACAGTGAAAGAGTGATGCGCTTAAGTGTGGTTCAGAGAGGTTATTTGGGCTGTAGAAGTTTTTCTTTGAACAGGGTTCAAATAGCGTCTCCTAGCGCGTTAGCAGAGAAGAGTATTACAGTACTGCGATATCTTAAAATCATCAATAAGATAGATAAATTAATTTTGAAAATATTAAATAATAAAAACAAATAATAAAATAGCAAAGAAAATCAAAATCATCAATAAGATAGATAAATTAATTTTGTAAATATTAAATAATAAAAATAAAATTATAATAGCAAAGAAAGCCTACCACGGCCACATACACATAATATTTTCGACATATGAATTTTTCCCAGATAAATAGTCAAATATTTCACGATACCTTAAAACAGAAGCATGCGGAAATATGTATGAAGTTAACGCACGGTAGATGGCTTAGTAAATTAAAAAGGTATATGGTTTCTAATATCCTACTTTATTAATGAAAATTTTAACCAGGTTTTTGTTTTGCAGATATTAATGGTGGTGCCACACAGCTTCCAGTTCCGAAAAAAGAAATAAAACACTTTTCGTCTTTATTTCCTCTGTCCTTTGTGCGCAAAAAAAGTACAGTTTGTACCCGCGAGGGTACACATTCGCAGAACTATATGTTTTTAAAATAAATGCTTTGGTCAATATTCACTAGGTGGGGTTACCTTATTAAAGAAAATCTTATTCCAAGAGGGGACACTAGTTTACATTCGAACCGCTAGAGGGTGCAGATGGTCACGCGGACAATATGATCAAGTCTCATTGACGCCATTGCTTTTCTTAGGGGTGGGAAAATATCTGGGCTCTGATTGGCTTCGCCGCCATCGCAAACTAGAGGTGAGGAGATTGATTAAACCCCATTGGTGCCTGCTTATCCAATGGGGGCCAGTTTCAAGGGATTATGGGTAAAGGGGGAGGAGCTAGAGAGTCGTGAGGAAGGAGGACACGCCCACAAAAGGGAGAGGAGTGGGGGAAGCCTATATTGTACTTAACAACTACTTATATTTTATATAAGTGCTTCCTTAAGAATTAGTTGGATTTATTTATTGTTGATTATTTCGTCTAATATAGGAATTTCTTGAAGGGTGTCATCGTTATTTGTACAATGTATTGTTGTTTTAAAAACTGGCCTTATAACTATATTTTCGTAAATGATTATTTTTTTATTAGATTCTTTTTCTGTGTCTCCAAGAATTTTTGAAATATTCGACAAGTTTAGTTTATTTTGATCAAATTTATCATCTAGGAATTTTTCAACATCGAGATCGATATCTCCAGGGTTATTAAATAGGGATTCGGTTTCTACTGCGTTCAATTTAATTCGAGATAATGTGTCTACGTTCTTATTAATTTTGAATTAGTTCCACGATCAGTATAAATTCGAAATTTTCGATCGTAAAGATATCGTCTGAAGTATCTACAGGCCCATACAATGGCAAGCAATTCCTTTTCTATTGTACTATAATTTTGTTCTGTATCGTTTAATATACATGATGCGTACGCAATTGGGTTGTCATGTGTGGGTATCCCGTATGATAATACGGCAGCAGTATTTGATGCATCTGTAATGAAAATAAATTGTTTTGAATAGTCTGGATATTTTAGGATAGGGGCATTAATTAATCATTGTTTCAAATGATTAAAGGATGTAAGAAAAGCGGGGCTATGTTCTATCTTCATCTTCCATCCGTCAAAGACAAAATTTCATTTGAGATGCCAGGAGTTTATAGCGTTCCATGCATATGCAGCAAAGAATACAATGGAGAGACCGGACGAAAAATATCAACTATTCAAAGAACATGAAAGAGCCTTACGACTAAGACAAATAAACTCATCAGCAGTTGCCGAACGCAATTACGAAACCGGACATAAAATTTTATTCGATAAAACTAAAATTCTTGCATTGTAATCAATTCTTCTACCAACGAAAAATCCGAGAGTCTATAGAAATCTATAAAGAACCTAATACTCTAAACCGCGACTCAGGTCTAAATCTAATAAATCTAATCTAAAATGCGAGCCAGTTTCAGCCAAGCTCTGAAGAAACCAACAGGATAATTGACGAAACGCCAGCAAGTTCGACTCAGCAAAAAAAATATTACAGTACCCTGTGGAAGTTTCTTTGAAAAAATAGCAAACATGTTAGGTATAACTTTGGTTTGCGAAATATTATTTTTGCAGAGTGTTCATGTTCATGCATAGTTTTCCGAAACTTCACCCCGACCCAGGATGCCGTCTAATAGATGTGTTTCTATTAAGGACGTATACACAGTTTTTAATTGTTGGATTGTTAATCAGTCTCTTAAGTAGTAAAATTTAAAGAGTACCCTTCTAAGTTTATAATAGTATATTATAAACAAGTGCGGTGAACGGCATTTGATTCACGAGTTTATTTGACACGAGCGAAGCACAGCTCAGCTAGTGGTTAATCAACGAGTGACTTAAAAAGTTTACCGAAGGTGTTACATATTATATTTTTTCTACGACAGTTAGTTTTTGGGTACATTTTCACAAAACAACACGAAATATCTCCGAAAACATCCGATTCCTCCCAAACGCGTGCGGTAAAATTCCGGAAATGTCAGAACTGGCTCACATCCGTGGGAAACGAAACTGACGTGGTAAATTGACGCTTCCCGAACGCTAGATCGATATATTATTAGGCATTTTACAGACGGGAGTGGAAAAACTACATTTGCAATGTGTAAATCTCATCTAAAGAAGCTGTTTATAGTACTATTGTCAATTACTGTTAAATTACCCATGTTTGACATTTAGAGACATTTTGTTGTGTTGGTGCCAGTTTTTGAGAATTATGATATCTTCTATCAATTGTTACTGTTTGTTTTTCGTTGTAACATTATTTAAATATAAAATAAATTGTGTCAAGAACGCTGCCTTGCCGCACGCCATACTGTGCGACTCTCAGATCTCTATTTACGTATTTAATATTGATGAATATTTTTTTTGTAAATTCAAAATTGTTATTATTGTTTATATGTTATTATTATTGTATTTTTGTAATTTCTGAAGTAACTTAGTACACCAAACTGTATACACCAAAAAAAACATTTAAAACAAATGGTTACGACGTGTTGTGCAATTAGGGTGATTTAAACCAAATCGACGGGATTATAGTTTACATAAAATTCAATATTGCCACACCGTTAGGAGATTGATATTATTGTCGAGAAAGTATTTAATTCCAATTTACATCAATACTTATCGTGGGCAAAAAATTATCGAACCCATAATATTGTTGGAGATTTAAATATAAACTTATTAGGTAGCTCCAAGGTTGTAGACAAATATAAACACGTTCTGGGTCAATGCAAATTTTATTCTTACATTAATTAAGTCACTCGTCCAAAACTGGACTGTTTGGAACATTTTTCATAGAAAATCATGCGATTGGTTTAAACAGTATAAAATCATTTGTGTGTCATGTTACAGATCACTATCCTATTGCTGATAATGATGCTGCAAAAAATGACTTGCGAAAAAAAATTGGAAAAATATAATTAAGTTAATTAAGTTAAATTAAAATGTGAATATTGCTATGGGGATTCCTTGATAAGGCATAGTAAAAGTGTTTAATAACATTGCCAAACCTAATTACATTAAAAAGACCCAACGATTGGTGGAATGGAAACAAAAATATTTAACTCAAATTCGTCAATTTACGTCATATTACACTGTGAGTCAAGAGAAGATTGGATTCCAAAGGCTTTGCTACTTTCAGCAAAAAACATTAAAGACTGCTTTTTGACTACCGACAGGACATGACAAGTGAACTTTACCACTACGATTTCAATCCTATAGAAATGATATGGGTCGAATTAAAAACAAAGTTAGACGCAATAATATAAACTCCGAAAATGTCCGCCCATATAATTGGTGTAATTAAAGCTCAGTTTGAATTCATACCAGAAAGTAGAAAGAATTGTTAATCATGTAAGTGAAGTGGAAAATAATTATAAAAAAAACTTGGGACAACGTAAAACCATAAATTATATGCTTGGATGATAGTGATAGGACAGATTCGAACTATTCTGATGACTTTAATATGTATTTATTATTTATATAATTAGAATTATATAGTACGTAACATATTCCTCTGCGGTTGAGCAATCCATGAGGCGCGTCCCCGGGTGGCGGATAGGGGAGCCCAGGCTCTCATGGGCCTGGGTGGCTGGGAATAAGGAGGCATGAGGAGGTAAAAATCCAATAGGGCTGACAAATAACCAGTTGTGGACCAGCTCACCCTGCCCAGCTGTCGTGTCGTGGCTAAGGGCTCGCACAGGTTATAACGGTGCCAACTGGCTTGTAGTCGGTTGATAAACCAGGCGTCGGGTGCCGGTTCGACGAGTGGGCACGCGACGCGGGGGGTCTGACCTTCACCACTTGGACCAAGAGGAGTAAACCTCAATAAAAATCCTAAATCCTACGGGGGGGGGGGGGCTAGGGGATGCATGGCTGGATAGAAGATCACTCCCTACCGATCCCAACCCCGAGGCACCGGGCGCACCTCGGGGAAGGAAGCCTTACCTCTACATGCGGGGCTCTGCAGAGGTGGACCGTTTCTTTCCCTAGCTACTCGTGGGACCTTTATGGAACCAGAAATAAAACTTGTAAAGGAGAAGCAGAATGGGCCCTAGGGGGGCTCCAGCAGGCAGGGGCGTCCTCAGGAAGGTCCGCTCCAAGGGCGATCTGAACAGGATCCCCAGGTCGCGAGCGGGGTGGAGGGCTCGGTACAAACCGGGAACACCACCTCGACGACACACCGCCCCAGACATAGGAGTGGGGCGGAAAAAAGAAGGGCGAAGGAGAAGAAATTCGCGGTGACGGTTTCGGAACCGCAGACGGGCTTTCTTCCGGCGCCCAGGAAACCTGCCACGCCGTCAACGGAGGGCTCCATAGGGGGCACACCGGAAACGGCAGGCGGGAAGCGGAAAAGGAAAATGGGAGAGACCACCCAGGTTGGGGCACCTGCCGCGGGTCGGCGGCCGACACGCGGCTTGGCGAAAGCTGAGCCCGGGAAAGGCGGGCCGTCCCGGGGGGGGGGGCTCTGAGAGGGGGGCTCGGTCCTATGCGCAAGCCGGGGCGGGGGGGGGGGGGGCTGAACTAGTGGTGGGTCTCAGAGGACAGGAAATTGACCTGTCTTCCGAGGACCTACTGCGGTTCATAGGGTCTCTTAACCTCCGCGTAAGCATGTATATCATGCAGGGGGGCAAAACACACCTCCCCGGATACGCTCGGTTAGGCTTTGGAGGAGCCACATCGTGATCGAGATGATAGATGAAGAAACCAGGGAGTGGGTTCGCAGGGAGCTGATCAACGTCAGGCCCTGGGGGCTCGCAAACCTGGTGGAGGTGGATCCGGAAGGATTGAGACTTAGAAGGGAAGCGATCTGGATTCCGGGCCTGGGGGCGGGTGTCTTGAACGAGGCACTAGTCCGCTGCCTGGCAGCTCAGAATGGCCTAGATTGCCGTGCTTGGAGGGTCTGGCAGAGGACGGAGGATGTAAGGGGCACAAGGTTGGTGGTGGGCGTGGACGAGAAATCGGCAAGCGCCATCACGGCTAAGAACCGAGGAGGAATCTCGGCTGGAGGTAGACCGGGGATCCCATAAGGG